AACAAACGAATTTAAGCTAAAAACCTAATCAAAAAAGAAACGTCATTACAAATTGTAATAAAAAAAACGATTAATCTTTCGAAACAGTAACTATAATTGTAAATCCTGGTGTAAGAAGGCAATAAGACCACATATTTAGGAGATTAAGACCTATGGAAAACGTAAAAACAAGTAAGTTAAATACTACGAATGAACCCATTCTGCCATGGCCAACATTGGCCAATACCGGTGAATAATCGCGTGTGTCAATCTACAACACACTCCGCAACGGAACACCAACGCAAATATCTCAATCTGTTAATAAATAAGGTGGAATAGTTTACGTTTATCGAAGTCATGCAATCGATTATACATTCGTCTTTCCAACTGTTAGAAAGAATAAATCTAATGCTCAAACGCGCTTACAAATACATGGCAATTCTTCTATGCTTCACAATGGAAAAGGGCGAATCGAAAGTGTGTCAAAATGTTTACATTTTCCGTGGGCCCGGTAGTTAGGGGAGGAACGGCTAATCGCCGTGGCCGCCAGGTCCGTCCTGTGCCGAGGCCAGTTAAGAGACCCATTATTAAGGCCCAACTTGTAACATTTTAGGCATGTTTACATAAGGCTGTCGGCCGGCCACGCCCCTGCCCGCGATGATTTATCATTTTCCCGATGAATATGCAACGCGCATGGCTAATTTCAATAAACCCGGGCGGCTGATAAATGGTTTCTCTAAAAAACAAAGATATTTAACTACTCCTAAATAACACTCGGTGAAATTGAAACTGCGTCTCTAATTATACCTGAAATTTATTAACGTACCGTGCGGGTATGTCCGGGCGAGGAGAAAAATGGACTTTTGATCGAATGCAAATTACATAGGTAGTTGTGGCGTGGCGTTGTCTCGGGCATGTTTGCGATGCTAATTCGGATAGGTACGCAAAAAAAAATCGCGGATTAAATTATGCAGGAAATTATTTAATACGATTTAAATTGGAAAATGAATAATTCATTAATCGCGATATAAATTAATGCTAGTTTGACTTCCCGATCGGTCCCATCTAGATAAATTATGCCGGAATAAAATTGTCAATAATTACTTTTGAGCGCAATTAATTCCAATAGCTATGCGAATAATTTTAAGAGGATTAAAATGTCACGCGAATAGTAAACGTTTTTTGTCGGATTTGCTCCCAGCATAAATAAATAATCGTAAACTTCCTCGACTTATCAAGGAATTAGGATCTGTCGCAGCTCTATTGAGAATATTGATATACGCGTTCCGTAGAACATGCATTGTTGTCAAATCTACGCTTTCTTGATTCGTATACGTTTTTTCATATAAAAAGAAATTGAACAATGATGACACACAAACACACTGTACCGTCAATAAAGACTGAAATAACTTTATAAAATTATATATAAATTCTATTTCGATTCCAATAAAAATGAATACGTCATGCAGAAAGTCGCAATATTTGTTTCTTTATTACAAAGAATAGTAAACCGATAAACTGAAAATTGAAGTAAATGTAATAAAATAAGGCAGTAACAAATTCGACCACTCATATTTCGCTGAATTAACGTTAGCCGTTCGTTTTTCCTGGCCTGGCGCCCAATTGTCATGTCAGGTGGATTGGTATTATGTAGTTCACCTAAACTAAGTCAGTGTCAGAGTTGATTCACATTGAGATTCACAAACTAAGTACAAACCCAAAAATGGAAGAAATAACGTTTTTTTTTTCAAATGTGTACTTTGTATCTTTCAAAAAGTACGATACTTTGTATAGCCGCGACATAATTCTTTATAATTATCGGGTATCAGATTTCCTTTTTTAAAAAAACCGTAATTAAACGCTGAACATTTTATTTTCGGATGCCTGCCTATTAAGTTATAAATTCGATGAATTATTTATCAGCACGCTAATAAATATTGCAATAAATCAGTCTCCATATATTTTGTAAGTCGAAAAAATGAATAATTCATGTGACCTATTAATTATATTATTAATGAGTGGAAATTAAACTTCCTGATCGTTCTGTCTGAGAGAGAAATTATAGCTGGAAAGACAAGCCGCAATAAATACAAAATTCAAATGAAATTATATATATTAACAATAATTTTAATCAATATGTCTGTTTGATTTCTTGTAAATATGCTTAAGACAACGTAAAAGTTAGAAGCTATTACGAATTTAGAATGAATTTGATTATATACTATTTATTATACAAGGTGTACAAAAACTACAAATAAAAAAATTAGGGCATAATTTTCCCTATAAAAATTAAGGTAAAATTCCCTATGACATTTTTTCGAAAGTTCTACATTATTTGGTTTAGTTAGTATTGGTAACAAACTGCAATAAAAATTTTGAAGACATTGAGGGTTTAAATGGCTAGAAATTTAACAAAACTTTTTTAAATGCGGTTTTTCAAAAAAAAAGAAACGATATAAAAAATCATTCAAAAATCTTATAAAAATTTCCTGTTGTATTTAATGTTTAGAGACAATATTTTGCGACCATGCTCTATATCAGCCGGCGGTTAGCGAAAATTAAAATAGTCATATTTTGAACCAAGGGATTTTCGTTACGAAATAAAAGATTAAAATGTCGGAGTCTAATATCTTGTTAATAAAGGCTGCAATTATATATATNGCGCCAAAATGCATTTATATAAATAGATATACCTATTTCGAATGAATATCCTAATTCATTATATATATGTATATGTATATATATATATATATTTCATAATCTACAAACAAATACAATTAGGAACTCTTTTTATTTTTCTATCTGTAAATTTTAATTTGATAATGTTTCATTTTTCGAGCTTATAACTAAACAAAATGCAAAAAGCATGGAAATATTTTGTGTCTATCGTTAAAAAAATATTTTGCAAATATACAGGGTGTCCGGAAAGGTCATGTGAAAAATGAAGGGGTATACAGGGGAGGTCAAAATAGATGTAGTACTCGATATAATTTTTTTTCCTATCGGACTTCGTTGTGGAGTTATTCGCCTTCAAAGAAAGAAGTTTGAAAAACAAATTCCAATTATATCTTCTAAGTCGTTACCATGACAACAATGAAATTTGGGCAATTAAAGTAACTCATGGTAATGTTCATTTCCAAGTTTAATTTATATCGACTGATATACGGTATACCTTTTTTTAAGCAAAGTGAGAGAGGAATCAAACTATCAAAGAAAAATGTTAAATTTGGCAACGCTGCCAAAGATGTATAAATAAATGGATAATTTCGTCTGCTCCTGTATAATCCAGGCATATTGGTAATGAGTTACTTTAATTGCCCAAATTTCATCCCGGGACATCATTATTACTTTTAAATTTCAGAGTATTTCTAAATCAATCAATGTAGTTAAATATAATAATTTGGCATAATTCAATGCTTACAATTTTCTTTTACATTCAAATTTCAAAATTTTCTCAAAAAAAAACTTGCAAGATTTTCTAATGATCTTTAAATTTGAGCTGCTTAATTTTTTGAAATAAATTACATAAAATTGTTGTTTAGTATCAACTAAAAGAAAGTTAGTTAATTTATTAATTTTAAAAATTGAATATTAAAATTATGTAACTTTACTTCCTTCATATGAATATAAAAAGAAAAAAGCCTAGGCAGCTGCTACCTAAATAAAAAAAAATTGTTCAAGCGGATAATTTTAAAATTTATTCCACTAAACTGATAATTTTGAGGTTTTTCTAATAAGGTGTTACTCGACACCCTTTCCTATTTGAAAAAATTGAATTTTTAGCAGTTCAATAGAAGATGGTGCCGAAATTGTAGATGAAATAAAGTTCCTAAATTGATTAATTGTAAGTGCCACAGCCAATGTTGTCATTTACCTCAAAAATATGTCAATTTGGACTATATACAGGGTGTTTGTAAATAAGTGCGAAATATTTTAGGGGGTGATTGCCGAAATTATTTTGTGAAAGAAAGTTCGTATAAATGTAGGTCGAAACATGCTTTGTTTTCGAGATACAGTGTTTAAATTTTAATTATTTATTTATTTTTATTAATTATTTCAGTTTTAAAGATATTGACTAGAAATTTGAAAAATGCTTTGGAGGGATAAATGTGCATTTTTTGGGGTGATCCGAATATTTCTACTTGCACCAGTGACGTTCGTGCGAGAATGCCACATTTTTTTAATAAAAAAAAATGGTACACCACTGACTTTTTCCCGTTTTGATATTTTTTTAGAAATATGTTCAGAAAGAAAATAAAACATTTTATTGCAAATTGTGTATTTTTAATTTCTATTGATACATTATCTAGTAGGTTGCTGTTAATATTTCTAAATAAAATACAAATCAAATTTCGAGTCAATAGCTTTAAAACTGAAATTAGAAAAAAAATAAATAAAAAATTAAAATTTAAACACTGTATCTCGGATATAAAACATATTTTGACCTACATTTATATAAACCTTTTTTTAACAAAATAAACTCGGCAACCACCCCCTAAAATATTTTACACTTATTTACAAACACCCTGTATGTAAATGAAACTATCAAAACTTAATAGTTGTTGTATTTTAGATCAGGATATGTGGTAAATTATCGAAATTTGGTTTCAAAAATTTTCAAACTTATATTCATCCTATAAGAGCATTTATCTTCTATCTTCTTTTTCTTCACAAATTCATAAACAATAAAAATTAAGCCTATGAGAATATTTTTTTTGCTCACTCATATAATTATTAATTGTCGCTCCTTATAAAGAAGAGGCTTCACAATGGTCAGTTGTTGACCCCATTTTATGTTTATAATTTACAGATCAACTTTAAGAAAACAGATAGATAGAGTAAATTTAATAGGACCAAAATGTATTAATTTTTGTGCATTTTTGACCTTTTTTTTTAATTTCACTTCTGCAAAGAAATCTTATTTTAACCTATGCAATAACAAGACGAAACTCATTATTTCGAGTGCATATTTTGTTGAATACATGATATCGACATATGCACTGAAGAAAAACGCCACTTACCTCACTGTCGATCCTCTTGAACTCCTCCTCATCCTCGTCAACTTCAAAGTAAAGCTCGGCAGACGTAATAGAAACCATTCCCGGTGCAACTATCCCCGGAGCGACTAACTTTGCTTTCGTACTTATATTTACAGGACCTAGAAACATATTTTCCTTAGCAACTGTTAAAAACACTTCCATTTCTAACTACTCTTATGGTACTTACCACTAAGGTCATTATCTAATTCCCTATCATCTGTCAAAAGTTCACTGTCATCCATGAGGTCGCTCTGCATCTGCAGTTGACCTCTCGTTGCCGCCAGATGTGCGTGGAACTCTTCCCTCGCCTAAAAATCACAAATATAAGCAACTTTCCTTGCCATATAACAGCATTTACTACCTGAAGAATGGCATCTTCGGGAGCTCCGTGCTCGATAGCCGCTTTTAGACTAGCTTCGGGGTGGGTGGTGCCAAGGGGATTGTGAACGAAACGTTTCCTTCTCCTCGCGTCGTCCTCCCACGCGTCTAACTTCCAGAATTCGTTCAGTTTGGATTCCATGGGGTCCATGTAACCCCAAGCTCCGTGTTTATTCGACATTATGTTCCTAACTTTCTCTAAAAGCCTGCTCGCGGTGACGTTGTCGCGTCTTCTAGCCGAAGTGATCAGGTGGTCGCACATTCTTTCTTCCTCCTTGCGGTCTACTAAGGTTTGGGCACATTGCGACTAAAAATGAAAACAGAAGATAAAACAATCATTGTCAAAAACAAAAAGATAGAAAACATAACGGAACTACTTACTATAAGTATAAAAACAGCGGAATTTGGAAGTCCCGATTAAATCCTATAGAAATCCCATATTATAGATATTGTTTACAACATTTCGGATATAGCGACGCAATTTTATTACATTTACATAGAATCCATGCACCGCTTCCTCCCCCCAAGAAAAAAGCAAAAGAATGTGGCTTCTCACAGTATGATTTAAACAATTTGGGAGAATAGAAATAAAATAATCTTTATTAAAAAAAAAATTCATTGAAAATGAAGCGCGCAAGATCTTTTGAACACAAAGCAATATACACTGGCGGCCCTTTGAAAGTGGACGATTTATTTTTCTAATGTGATGTGGTCTACTTTTCTTATTATGACAAGTTTTTATATATCAGTGTCAATAGTGATTTGCTTGGTAATTCAAGATGCCGCGTTTAACGGAACCAGAGAAAGTGAGAGCTATAACTTTACTTTAGAATGATTGGTCATTGCGGATGATCTGCATGTATGCAAGAACAGCATATTTAAACTCAAAGAAAAATGGATTGCGGAGGGTCACGTGCGTTATGTTCAAGGAGATGTGTGTCGAAAAGTAAGCACCATCTAAGAATAAATCCTTTTGACACGGCAGTAACGGCTTCCGTTGAGACGAATTTTCCTGGATCTGTGCGAACTGCAAGGAAATGGGTGAAAGATTCGAAGCTGAAGAATTATGTGGCCGCAAATACAGTTACTTTGACTCCCCAGTATAAACAGAGGTTAGAGTTTGCAAGACAATTTGTAGGAAGCCCGGACAACTTCTGAAAATTCTCCATTAACTTTTGGAATTGGATAAGTTGCCAAGGTCCTGGTGTTTGTTGGAGGATTAAAAGAGCGCCTCACTGGACTGAGCTATGTGCGCATAATGGAAAAAGTTATGTTGACATCCGTGACCATGCTGTATCCTCAGAATTTCATTTTCCATCAGGATAACTGTGCAATTTACACCTCAAGAGTTGCGTCAGAATGGTTCATTAATAACAACACTCCTATCGAGAACGCCTGGGGATATATGGTAAAAAAAAATTATGACAGAAACTTCCATCCAGCTAACGTCGAAGAACTTTGGGAGGCAATTGAAAAAGCATGGATTACACAAGAACATTAATTTTATCAATGCCGTGCAAATTGCAGTGTTATAGACAAAAATGGTGCTCGGACAAAATACTAACTTTATGAATCGCGTTTTTTTGAGGACGAAAAGTGTTTTATTTCTAGATCTCATTAACAGCGAATGAATGGCCGTTAGAATGTATAATATATTTCAGTATTGGAAAAATAAATAATTAGTTTTGCTCACTAGAACTAGTATGATAGATACACATTAAATTTGACATAATGACAGCCGATTTGAACCTCACATTTTCAAGTCAGCTTCACAAAGGCCAATTATAGACAATTTGCTTATAAGAGTCGTCCACTTTGAAAGGGGCGGCACTGTACATAATTTAAAGACTTGTATTGTAAATTTCTCATTTTTTCTATAAAAATTTTAAATAAAATATATGTAATTGCTTATTACGTCCATCGGTCATAACAACCGTAAACAAACGGTCCCTTAAAGGTCGTTATAACTGATTAAAACATAAATTCTGTCGACAAAATTTCAGGTATTAAAATCCCTACAAAGTAGTTAAATAAAACAAAAAAACTGTCACATTAGACTTTTCGGTTGAAGTTAAGAATAAAAATACTAGATGGTGACTCTCTCATAACGTACCCGTCACTCTTATTTACAAAATAAACATGAATGACAGGGATTTTTTGCAAGTGCGCAATATAGTATTTTCATCTCTAAGTTCAACGTGTGTCTATCTACAAAACTAGGAACTCTGTGGCAGAAAAGGTTTTCGAAACATTCACTTGTTATGTGTTACAACGTGCATAGTTAAATTTTGAACAATTAACTACTTTCTCAGTAGTAGACGTTCTGGTTATTCAAAACTAATAGCATTTTCAGTTTGTACAACTCAGTATGTACTAGCACTGAACTAGTTCTTGGAAAAACTGCAATAATTTTAATCTCCGCAATTTCTTGAGGAAACACAGTTTTACAGTTTTTCAGAAAATAACTCTCAACATCCTTGAAAATGTTATATTCATATGAAACTGTGCTGTTCTATATAATTATCAAAAAATTCAAAATACCTAAATAATTACGAAGATACTACAATAACCAAAACTAACCTCAAAATCAGCATGTTTCACAACATCGTCCGCCCTCATCCTGTTCAAAATAAACTCAGCTTCATTCGCAACTCTCACAATATGGTCTTTCATCGCATGCGACAACAATCGTCCCTCGTTTATTAATTCGATGAATGCGAGACCTGCGTGTTTCTGCAACGAGTTCTGCCATTCCTGCGAACACAGCAGCATTACCAACTCCACAACGGAATTGCTGTTCTTGAAAGTGGTAAGGCCCTTTCCTTCCATTAGCAGTTCTTGACCGTGAGACCCAACTAAGGTTTTAGATAGGAATGGAGCGAAATCCACCATTATCTCTCTAAGAAGTGGACAGACCGATCCGAGGGCCATTTCTAGTTTCTGTGTCAAGGAAGCCTCTCTAGAAGGTGTGGGGAGAGAGATATGATCCACCAAATTATTCACTGGTAAATCATCGGGTCTCATTTGCGTCGGGGCATGTAAAACGCCATCCGGTACTCGCACTACGGATATTTCTGGGTGGTGTTTCTCTCCCCTTTCCGAGTGGATGTTCCCTTCCATATCGACGACACCAGAGTGAGAGTGGGACATATTTTGCAAGTTTCTAACTTCCTCCTTGATATCACCCTCTTCGTTAAGGTTTATGTCAGTCCAATTTTCATCAGTGCTGAGGACCTTCTCGTTATCGTCAAGGGGGATTTCGTTATTTGAGCCGAGGTTGTTGGTCTCGGCGGAGTTGACGGAATTCACCTCCTCGATGGAATCTGTACTCTGGGAAGTACACAAAATATAATAGACCTTGTTTAGTGATGTTAATACTATATATATGCTGGGGATTGTTCCATTTACTAATAAACAATTTTGTCAATTATAAAGAATTTTTTTTTGTACACAAAATTAAATATATCAGAAAGTTGCGTTAATCTTACGAAGGATATTTAAAAAAATCAAGATTTTTGTGAAAAGTGTCAAACCGTTGACCATTTCCAATTGTTTTTCGCTATAAAATTGTTTATTTAGAAACACATATGATAGTAGATGGGACAAAGTACATTATAAATACAGGGCGTATATTTATGATGGGTGAGTATAATGAAGGACAGAGAAGATATGGTTTTATTTACAGTTCAATTCATATGTAGGACTATAGGTTCAAATAAAATTTATAACATCTTATCAATTTGTTAAATGTTAGCTAAAAATATTAATTCATGCAACATGCAATGGGTATATATACATTTTCCATTAAATATACAAAATTTTACAAAGAAATACTGTTCTAATAAAAATGAATATTCTAAACGCCAATTTACAACAAAAAAAAATAATAATATGTTTTTAATAAAGTTTCCATTAGGTAGAAATACAGGAAGTACAAAATAACGAAAAATATTTTTTGGGTTTGGTATAGTGGTGACTGAGTGATCATATTTTGATAAAAAACACAGGAGCCATATCAATTTTTAGGGGATGGTTTCTCATAATGAAAAAAATTCTAATGAAATCTGCTCATCAAAAAATTAAAATAGGGACCCTGAAATCACGAAAAAAGTTACACAATTATTTACAAAATATATTTTTTTCGCAATCAACTTTTTTTTTATCAGAAAACTAAGTTATACATATTTAATCTTAGATACTAACGCTTCATTTTTCTAAATTGTTGCTAATGCTGTAATTTTATGAAATTATGAGTGCCCCTCCAAGTGGACCACTGAAATATTCTCCTAAGAAATGATATGAGTCCCACATTTTATTATCAAAATGTGATTTTAATTTTCACCTCTCGCCGCTGGTTTCAGATAATGAAGTTTGTGACCTTCTGGATTTTTATTTACCCACGTAGGATTTATCTAAGGATAAGTGGTTTTGGAACGGGTGGATTGTTTGAAAAATTTACACAAAGTCGAGCAGAATGCATTACCTTCTTAACACGAGCACTGTCACAACCTCGAGCATGCCTAATCCCATCCAAAGTGTAATTAATAGAGAACCCGTGTCCCAGAGAGGGGCGCTGCCTGGCGTTTACCTGTTGAGAGGCACGCCGCAACAGCAAAGCAAAGTTAGTGGAAAGGTCTATAAACTATCCTCCATTCTCACAAGTACTAAGTAATATTCTCCCGTATTTAATGATCGGTGAAATCTTAAAGGGATGTTCGCTGGAGCTTTCGTGTAATAACGTTATAAAATAAAATTTAATACAACTATGTACATGTACTTGATGGGCCAAATTCGACATTTTTAGGGAGTTTCTCTATTTACCAAAAATGATGTCACACACTCAGTTTTTTAAAAAAATCAATTGATGAAAACCAAATTTCAGCGTTTCGATTCGTTTAAGATATACAGGACTTTATTAACACTTGCCATTTCCTATAACTTTTTTATTTTTGTGATAATATTTGATTTTTCAGTTTTGTACATAAAATTCAGTAATGTATGTGATATTTTTCACTTATACAGGGTGCAACTTGGAACAGTTTACTTTTAATGTTATTTTCTTAAATTCCATTGTGAAAACTGAATTTTTTTATAACCGTTTTTTCATAATTTTCATATTCCAGTAAAAATTACTTCATACAGAAAGTCGCGATATTACCTACTACATATTTTATAAGCACCTTCTCGTAAGCCGATAAACTAAAAATTAAAATGAACGTAATAAAATAAAATATATTCCGAGATAAATTGTAATTCCATCGAATTTGACTCTCTGCACAATTTCCAAATTCCAACATTATTACGCTAAAGCTCCAAACTGATTATTCTGTTAATAAACGTTTCATCATGTCAGAACTAATCAAAGAGCAAACAGCAAGGCACAACCAATTGAGAAATTGGTGCAACCTAGGCGCATTTCCCATACAGGTGCTTAAAACCGCTAAAGTTGGTTACGGTGTTGACATCGAATGAAATAAATGCAAATTTTAAATTTCATAACAAACCAACTTCAGCTAAAAATTAGTAAGGCTATCTACAATGCAAAACCAAACACACATCGTTAATAGTTATGTCGTTTCGATAAAGAAAAATCAACAAGCAGTAATATTACAAATTTAACTTCAGAGGACCATATTTCATACTTTCGTTGGTCACTGTTACATATTTTAACAAAATGCTGTCGATTCTTCCTCATCGTCCTCCACTAAACAATCAGAAACTGCATTCTAAAAGACGAAAACGTGAAACGTGACTTACCTTTATAGACGGGGGCCCAGAGTGCAGCTCGTTCTCTTGGTGAATCGAGTTAGCTTCTTCTACGTATGCGGTGATAATGTCGTAGTCGTTATCTTCTTGAGTCTGATTCTGGATCGACCTCGTGGCTGAACAAATACAGACATCTTTGGATTTTTATTCAACAATATTCAATTTCAATGTTTAAAAAATAATAATAAGGGAGTTACAAATCAAATTCGACCAATGTGGCACATCTGAAGCAAATTTAATGTGTTGCAAAAATACCGTACTAATATCTGGCATCATTTTTATTTGCCGACAATAGTAAGTAGCATAAAAGAAACTGGGATCAAGGAGATAGCGATATAAATTTTAGTCAAAAAACCAAACTAAAGCCAATAAATTTTAGTATAGCTTAAAATTTCTAATAAAATCTTAGTTTTTATGTCACATACAATTTTAAAAAAATATATGTTGTAGAAATCTGTGGCTCTCAAACATATTTTAGTCAAGGAGTTTCAAAATTAATTGTACCTCTGGACACTTTAGAAATTCGAACAATAATTTTAAAACAATTTAGTATTATAAAATTCATTTGTTATACCGATACAATTTTCTAAATAAATCAGTGGTTCCCAAACTTTAATAATCTACAGTATTGTTACAAACTCATGCCAGTCCTAAGGCCATCAGATATTATTAAACTATAGGGGCGTCTACAGCTCAAAATACTGTCACAATTCAAAGTTTGAGAACCGCTGACTATTCTCAAAGCATACACAAACACGCTAATGCTAACAAAACAAGCTGAAGCTCATCGACAAAACTGAAAAGACAACAGAGAAAGTGAGGGCGGGCGTGCTAGGAAGAACGGAAAGAAAGAACTACACCAAGATCGTTCGCAAAATTACCTGCACGGCTCGCTATGGAGTTTCTGTGGTAGCGGTGGTCGATTTTATGGTTATGGTGGTGAGAGTGGTGGTTATTATTGAGGTTGTAGTGGTGTTTGACGTAGGAGTGCCTGTGCCGCACGTAGTTGTTGTGCGGCACGGCGTTGGGATGGGAACCGGGCAGGAATTGGGGGTAGACGTGGTGGGACCACTGCGGGAAGAGAGGCCTTGCGCTCCCCTCTGCATGTTAGTAACAGGAAAAATATGTTAAAAAACGACGTATAAGTAGCGAGTGAAAAATGTTAAGTACAATGAAATTGGCAGCGATTCGGAAAACAGCAAAAATAGAAAAGTTATTTCCTTATGAATCTTTTTTTGGATATTTTGGCTCCCTGTAAATTAAAAAAAATTGAAATCTTGCAATAAGTATATATGAGCAAAATATTTTTTCCGTAATTGACTGAACAATAAAAATAGGAATTTTCTTAATTTTTCACAAAATTGTTTGGTATTTAAATTTTATTCTGATTCTATTTTTCCAAACTTCATAATGTAAATTTAAAAAAAAAATAAAAAAAAGTAGCTTGCATCTTTCAGTTTTTCATTTTACTTTTAGATTTTCATCGCGGGAATTCTGCCATTTCTCTATAGTGGTGTCTTATAGTGATGTATTTCTCTACTTCTCATTGCCAGATTTCAAAATAGGCAAAAATAAGTCAGTTAAAAACAAACCCTTACATTCAATTTATAGTACTGCAAAATATCCAATAAAAAAAATGAAATAGTCTAACCAAATTACATTTGAAGAAAAAAAATTGTTACCTGGACTTTTATAAGTGGAAATGGTAAAAGGGCTTATAATAAACCTAAAAAAAATAAGTGTGTGAGAAGGGGTGGCGGAGGATTGATTTGGGGAGTTGAAAAGTTGCGAAAAATTGTATCATTTGTATTTGCAAAAGTTGACGTCAAATAAAAAAGTATTCAATACAAAAGTTGTAGATCATGCAAAAATCTACAACTTTTGTAGAGGTCACTTTTTAAGATAACCTCAAAATTTCCGAGAAAAATGCAGACAGGTTTTTTTTATGATTTTTCATTTTTCTTTCTCATTTCCGTAAAAATAATTTAATTTTAACGAAACAAAAAAACTACTTTTTTCTACAGAAAAGAAAATATTATTCATTTTATTTATTCACTATTCGACTTATGTTTATAGCAATACTGTACAAAAATAATGTTTTGGGTCAAACAATGAGAGTTTTTTGTATTTTTTCCATACAATTGAATAGTGTAATCAGTTTTTAATTTTTTTTTAAATTTAAACAAATTACCAACAATTAATGAAAAATTCATTGTTACAAGTCATTGTTTGTTATTTTTGCATTGAGCATGTTTTTGAACTGTGATTACAGACTTTTTTAATCCACCAAAAAGTATGTCAAAACGAAAAAAATTATCAGCGGCAGAATTCTGTACGATTTTTCTAAGTACAATTTTTCTTTGAAAAAAAAGTGTTTCAGACCGGCAAAAATGAATTATCTCGGAAAATTTTTGACTTCTTTATCTAAAAAAAATTGGGGTTATTTAAGACACAGAAAGACATACTTTCACCAAGTTTCCTCAAAATTAAATTATTTTGCGGAAATGAGAAATAAAAAACAAAAACTCAGAAAAAAACCTGTTTTTCTCATGTTTCTCGGAAATTTTGAGGTTATGTTAAAAAGTGACCTCTACAAAAGTTGTATATTTTTGAATGACTTTTGTATTGGATACTTTTTTGTTAGACGTCAACTTTCACCAGAAATCCCAATGATACAATTTTTCACAACTTTTCAACCCCCCAAATCAACCTTCAGCCAACCCTGCTCACATTATTATTATTTTTTCTTTTTATAAGCCCCTTTACCATTTCCACTTATAAAAGTCCAGGTAACAATTTTCTTTTTTTTTCCCTCTAAATGAGTTATTTCGATCTGTCTAAAAACTTTAATCTGCTGCACAATAATTTGACATGATAATTAAAAAGGGTAAAAATATGTCGGTTTTTCTTTGATATTTTTTTTAATTCAAAAATTTCAAAAAAAGGGAACTCAATTTTGTATTTTTTCAATCAAAAATTTACTATCCTTTTTCAATTGTAAAAACTTAAGGGTGCATTGTGGGAAGCATAATAATTTTACCTGGCCAAAAATATACATCAGTTCCTGTAAAAATAAAATGTGACTTTTCTCTTAGACCTATTTTTAGCCAGTTAAAATTTCATTAACCCATTTGTCTTTATATCTACGTTTGATGAAAACAAGTGTCAAATATTAAATAATAAATTTTAGTGACTAACATTTTTTTAGCTTAAAATTGTTTTTTTTTGTAATTTTCCTTATCATCAACATTAAGGAAAACATTTAAGAAAGGCCACAGGCTGAATTAATATTTACCACTGAGACAAAAAAACCATCGTCAAATTATTTTATAAAATTCCCATCAACATAAGCAATAAAACTTAACGATTAAAACTGACATCGTAGAAACAAAACTGTGAAACAGTGGACGAAAAACTAAACGACACACAATCCAAACACAATCCCGTTAACATTTGACACTGTCGTGAACAAAACACCCGCAACATAACCATAAAACTCACCTTGAGGACTTCCCGAATGGTGGGAGGAACTACCGCTGGTCCTGATGGCAGGCACGGGACTAGGCACTCGTATCGACACGGGAGGCTCGAGGATGTCCCGGTACTTGGACACCATGAGCACGGAAATGAAATAGACGATGGCGAGGGACAGAAACTGGGCTTGCTTGGTCTCTTCCTGTAAGGGAAAGCGTTAGACATTTATTTAGTGTGAAACTCAAACGTTAGTGCCTGGATAAACGTTCTCACCACATCTCTGTATATTACTGCCCGCAGTCGGTTGACGTCCATGTCTTGGAGGAGCTTCTCCGGGTCCTTCACCGGGCTCGAGTTGTTGGATAGGTTGTCAGCTATGTTCTGAGGGGGAAAGAGGAAAAGAATATGTAGATTAGGGCGATACTTGAATGAACATTGCTCGATGCTAAGTTACAAGCTTCATTATCTCTAAAACTATATTTTCAAAAGATAAAAATACAGAATAGCATAAGATTTTTATATTTTTTTTATAAAACACTATTAAAGTTGCATGTGTGCATTAAAATCAATCACCCAGTAGAATTATATTACAGGGTGTTAATTAAGTACGCAGAAAAACAAAAAGGGAAGTCATCGAGTCATTTTAAATTTAAAATGTTATATAAATATGGCTCCGCAAATGGATAGTTTTTGATTTTCGGGTTTGTACAGATCCAAGCAAAACCCAAGAGATAGTCATCTCAAACACAGATGATAAATATGTGAAACTAATTTTATTGTTGGTGAACAAAGTCATGCTGTGATTATCCTGCAGGATTATCTCGCCATTCAAGGAATATATGTCGTTGCCTAATCAATTTAAAACAAATAAATACAACTTTAATTCAGGCAGCAACCGATAGCAGACACTTTATATTTCATATAAGATAATAACAGATGGCACTGTTATATTTCAAAATTTCTATGTGCAATATTTCACCCACATTAGAAAAATTATTATTTAAGCAAAAATAAGAAAAAAGTTCGAAAGTATCCTTTTTTATTTTAATATATCAATCAAGCAATCATGCATTAATTGAGAGGTAAAGCCACCCTAAAATTTTGCTTTATTATGCGAAGAACATAGAAAAAAAGTTTTAAATGATGGAAAAATCAGGAACACGAGTTTTTTTTTAGGTATAATGCAACCACTTGCACAGAGCTGTAGGAGTGCTTATTGTAACTCGAGAGAACGCACACAATAATTAACTATTATGCAACGAACGCATTAGGCGGTCGCGGTCCCTTCGCATCGCGGTCCGTGCTAGTCTCGATCACACGCGGTGGAATTCCTTCCCATGTTTTCTAATGAATGCATTCGCACTAGAAGTTCCCGAGCTCGTCGTGCTCGCATCGTGTTCTTCAATGATCTTTTCCAAAGAATCTCAGGAGACCGTGATGCCATCGAAATGAGCTTACTCTTCCATATAACTCATTTTTTTAACTAAAACAATAGCACGACCAGAATTATGTACGATTGCCAAATGCGACCGATACATATCATAAATTTCTTATGCTGAATTGCAACAATAACAATTTTTTGAAAAACCACTTTTTTAACTCGCCAGAAACAATTCAAAAAGTTTTCAACAAATCGACCTGAAATTTTGTATAAAAGCTTCACAGTAACATAACTCAGGGAACACCATAGGAGTTTTTTGATTGATTAACAATCTTCACTGTTATCAACAATTTAACGCAAAATTTTTAGTTTTTTTTTCAAAACTTTTTTTAATGTTCACTAAATTGCCAATTATGAATATTTTTTAATTTTCCTATGATGTTCCCTAGGTTTTATAATATAATAGAAAATTTTAATTTTTTTGTTCCAAGACCATCTATTAATAAGAAGCCCTTCTGGCTATACAGACCATACAGACCATACAGACCCTCTGAAAAAAAGGTCACCATCTACAGCCGCCATTATGAATCTAAATCGTTTGAAAAAATTCACAATACATACTACCTGAAAACATGTACAATAAAATCATTTTGTGCCTGACATTACATCTTGTATCAATTTTTCCTTGAAAATTCCCAATAATCACCTTTTTTTCCAACCTCTAGAGTGGCGCTACCCCTTTAGATATTTCTGAAACTTGCCCAAAAATAACAATTTTGAAAAAAATGTTTTTATTTTCCATCTATGTACAACATCAAGCAGGTTTTAGCTTATAATTACCATAAATTCAGTGACGTAGCTTTGAAAAATGTCGGAAGTTGATCTTAATAGATTTGTTTAATTTCAAAGTAACAGATGTAGATATTTCACAAAAATGCACTTTTTGACTGATTTTTTAAATTTTCACTCAAAAATTACAAAAAAAAAAAAACAGAAACTTTTGAAAACACTCTTATAAGGTGGGTAAAATGTTATTTTTCAAGCACATGCACTGTAGAATGAGTAATAAAACCAAAATATCGCCTTTTCAAATTGATAACCCATATGTTAGGGCAATTTTACGTACCTTGGGAGAGTTCTGGACACCTCTTATGAACGACTGCAAGTGCGCCGCCTTGTGACTAGCGTTTAGTGAGGATGGTGCAATAGTGTGGTGCGGCCGGCTTCTCTCTTTGCACTCCAAACAGTTGCGAACCGCGCAAGTGCACACCTAGCACACGTATACAAATAACAACAACTATATTTTACAGGACACAGAAATTTACACGACATGCAGAAATGATTCTTCACAAAATGAGATGTAGATGATTACAATTCGTATATAGGGTGTAACTTCTAGAGGGGATGAATTGTTTTTATTACTGACACGGGATAAGTCCTATCTTTTTGCTTGTTCTTTAGGTCGGTAAATAGCTGTTTACCTTAATTTATTTATTTGTGTGCGGTAATCACACTTGTCGTCCGCAATTGACAATAAAACATGCAAAAAATAAAATAAACTATGCAATTGTATGCTAGAGCCATCTCTTGATTTTTTATTTAATGAATAATTAAAAAAAACACTCAAAAATATTAATTTTAAAAAGTGACATTTAAATGACAGTTGATAGTTATTTATGTGAGATTTCACCACATTCGTAATAAAAAATAGTATGTGCAATTCAAGAGGTTGTCTATTAAGTCCACTTGAGCGGATCAGTGTACTCACTTTATTAGTGCGCTCAAGTCTGCTCTCATAGGCAATAGACAACTTATCATACTTATTGCACAATATACTATTTTAGGGGTAACAGAACATGTTCTCCAGAATACTAATCTGAAATACGACGCATATCCAGAAAGTAAGAGTACTGAGGCTGTGGTTTTTGTTTTTGACAAAATTGGCAACAGCTCATTTCAGTTGAGAACAGCTGTTGTAGTGGCATGTTGAAAGAAGTGCCGCTATCCCGAATCCCGCCTGCTGCGAGGTGAGGAACTAATTCGGTTTTTTCTTGCTGGAAAGATGCTGTTCCAGATTTTTAGTGAAGTCAAAACTGTTTATGGGGATGGTGTGGTGAATCGTACTAATGTGTATAAGTGGTGTCGTAAGTATAAAGCTGGCAGAGCGATGAACATGATGAACAAACGAGAAAAATCATGCAACTGTGTTTCTTTGACTCTTAAAGAGATTCTCCTCATTGACTTTTTGCCCCAGGAGGAAACAATTAATACTGGGCAGTACTATGAAAAAATTAACACCGTAATTCTCAATCCACTTACGGTTAGCGTACACAGTTGTTTGGGGTTACACTAGGCACTATGGTGCTAGGTATAAAAATTACAAAAAGAAAGGATAAAAAATTCAGTTTTCACAGCGGAATTTTGGAAACTAAACTTATAAAGTATTACAAAAGCTTAAAGATAGCCACCGTATAAATATCCTCCCAATCAAAGTTACACCCTATATATTTCATTTTTACAAGAAAAAAATAACCTTCAAACTCTTTTTAACATCAATCATTTAACTGAAATTAACAAAATCTAACCAAAAAATAAATTAAACAAAAAAAAGTTATCGAAAAATTTTAAAGCAAACATGGAAGTGCGAGACAACAAATTTTTTGCAATATTTATAACTTTGATACATAGTATGTACAATTTTTATATTAATATGTATGTACAGACTTACCAATCTTAGACACTGCCTGAGGATGCCACCGTTGGACATATTTTTCTCCACTTCTAATTCGGCGAAATTCAATGAGCTGGCGAAAATCAAAACGTCCGCCATATTAACGAGTCTCTGTAGGAAACTGACGGCTACTTCTATGGGCATTCCCTGCGTTGGCTCTATTACATCTAGTTCGCTCTGTTAAAAATAAAAAATGTTCACTCAGGACAGCTGTTTCGTCAAAGTGCCTCAAGGGGGAGGGCTTGTATTTAACCCAATCAGTCGGAACATAACCTAACGCAAAGTCTCTAGACTGATAAAACCAACTTTGAAAAACAGGTTTCAATTTTCAATATATTTTTATAGTGCAAAAATTATAATGTTAATTTGTAGGTTTTTGATTAAAAGGCCTTAAATATTATCGACACTCATCGATACAGACAATGTATCACCTAAATCAAAGCACCACCTACAGACTTTTAAATAAACTACCAGTAAAGTTCACTGTTCTACTTACATTCGGTGAGGTAGCTGAAGCGAGTAACGGTAACAGTCCCCCACAGGCGATAATGAGGTTATCCGCCAATTGGGATATAAGGTGAACGGTATTTACAACGAAAATAGCGTTGTCGCTGCTATTTACAAAGTCCAGCACCGATTTGGTGGAGTGGCTGCGCCACACCTGTATATCGGTCTCTAGGGAGAAGAGCACGTCGGAGAGGAGCCTCTGGTGGATATAGGACCACTTGAACTCCGGTATCCTGAAGGGGGGCCTGGTCGGGCCCGGACTGAACATCGGTCTCGAAGAGGCGCCCGGTTTAGGATTCTTGGGTTCTGAAAAATGGGGAAATGTATCTCTTCCAGGACATCTTTCACGTTTTCATAAAATGGAGGTCAATTAGTGTGGCAAAATTTTATTAATTTTGCAACTGAGAAACAAAAAAACCTCAAATATAAGTTGGAGGTAATCAAAATTGCAGCATTTTAAAATAATTTTCAATTATACAGGGTGAGTATCACCAAAAAATTTAACTTTTTTAAATATAATTAAGTTCCTTATAAAATTCTGCATAAGGTGGTCTAAAAAGTTTGTGTAAGGATAAAATATAAAAATAAAAGTGAATTACAAAACACATGAATTAAACCCGATTTTGATACTAATATATCAAATAGAGCAAAATTATGGTTGAAATTAATCTTACCGAACAAATTAGGGTCAACTTGAGTCGAAGTGGATGCACTTCTAGGTCTCTTCTGAGGAGAAACTTGATGAACGCTGGCGTTCTGAGCGAATTCAGTAGTTTGGCCCTCGGAGTGGTTACTTGGAAGGCTGACCCTCCTCTTCGCCACCTCGGTAGACTTTTGGACAGCGGGGCTGTCACTGGCTTCGGCATCCTTGCCGACAGTAACGTTCGTAACAACAACATCCGTGGCGGTATTAGTAGTAGAATCGTAATGACTAGGATCACAGAACTGTGAAATCGTTGGTATATTTTCAACCGGAGGCACTTCTTCTTCACTGCTGACGCAGGCAGTGCCCTCTGCTTCTTCTACTTTAGAAACGGTATCACTAGATTGAATGTTTTTTTCGGCTAGACTAGATTCATTATTGGACGGCTCTAATTCTACTGACACAGCACTAGTTTCGACAATTGGCACAGCTTCGGATTTTTTCGTAATTGTATCACTATCACTAATGTTTTCTTTATTGTTCACGTCGCCCTGTCCCTCCTCCCTGAACGCCACCTTGTGGGCGATTGTGGCTTCACCCGCACTCTCACCCGGGACACTTTCGATTGTTTTCGGTTTGTCTGTCTCACTTTTTTCCTGCTTCACCATGCTCTCTATTTCGCCATCCTTCCTCTCTATTTCTTCTGTTGGTGTCAGATACCTTTTAATGGGAAATAATGATATTACATGACTTGAACTATCTGTATTAAAATATTAAGGGGTGTTTTGCAATAATTACTCACCTTTTTATTCCCTCAATCAAAATTACAACTTGTATTATCTAATACGTTTTTTAACTTACAACATGAGGATCCAGGTTATCTTAAGAGATACTATCAATTAAATTACGATGAACTTGTGGAATATGACGACAAATAACATGCTAATAATTTCAAAAGTTTAATGTAAAATATTTATGAGATACAATTCAAACTAATCGAATAATTAATTTGAAGAATATTTGGTTTTGTTTCATGTGAAAACTGAATTTTTACTTCCCAACTTTCCCATGGCACAGCTCGAAAAACAGGCACACCCGTGTTAGTCAAGATGCGAATTTTGAAATTAAAACAATTTTATCAAATTTGTTCCAACCTTTTCGCACACGCTCTATAATTTTATCATCTCTCAACAAAATTTATTCACTTATCACACAGAAAACCCTTTGGGAAAACTCAACGTTAGATTTCTTTTATATAGAAAACATCAAATTATAATAAAATCTATTAAAAGATCCATAAATTTTCAAAACATGATTACAATTGATATAAATTAAAACATACCTTTCAGACAAATCGCTATCGGGTACTTCTCTATCGGGACTTGGCACTTCTTGCACGGGACTGGAAGGCTCATCCGCCTTTCCCGTTTTTAACGTATCAACTTCGGGCACGTTGTTCACAACCTCTTTGACGGCTTGAGCTATTTCTTGGTCCTGCACGACGGGCGATATCGTTCTGGAATTTGAGTCTGAGCAAATCTCCACGTGCTCCTCCAACAGTTTTTCTGACTTGGACAAGATTTCCTGAACGATCTCTTCGATAATCTCGCTCTTCTGCGCCTCTTCGCTGATCTTAGCGGGGCTGCCAAAGCTGGGACTGCTGTCAATGTGCAGCCCGTTGCACACGGGAGAATCTGTGGCGATATCCGTATTGTCCTCCACTATTTGCGACTTAGCGGGCGAATCCTGAGAGTAAGGTGACTCCTTGCTTATTTTACCGTCACTGAACAGATCACTAGTCCTGGAATCTAACGATACACCTTCACTGTCATCGTGTTTCGCTACGTAAGACACAGGGCTGCCTTCTGACATGGTAGAGTTGTAGTCGCAGCTGCAGACTTGCTCCGACTTGTCGTTCTCATTCATTTCGATCTCTTGGAGCGGCGACCGGGAATTCTGCCACCGTTCGCCGTCCGGATGACATCCGTTGGAGAGGTTCTGAGGTACTTCGTGCCAGCCGGATATCGTGCTAATGGGGTGCTGTTGTCTAAGGAGCGGGTCCGTTATGTTGTCTGCCCTGTGCATTTCGTAGTGTTCGTACATCTGCGCAAATTGCAACTTGAACTCCTCATAAGACACCTACAAATTTAAAATAAAGCATGTCACATAATTATCAAAATGCATTAAAAAAAAAATAAACAAACAGATATGTACGTAACTAAAAATAGCCACAGATTTTGCCCTGTGAAAAAAATTTAAAAAATTTGTAAAATAACACATGATAAAATAGGCAAATACAAGTATACATTAACTATATTATGCACACTTCTAAAAGTTCTATTTTCTGACAAAAATTAAAAAATTTAAGTCATTATCAGTACATTGATTTTTCGAAATGCCAATTTCTTGAACGCAATATATGTTGCTGTATTTTGTATTTATCTGCTTTTTCCATTTTAAGATTTTTTGGTTCGGCAAAACTATTTTCATAAAAATAATCCCTGACTGATTACTTTGGCACAAGGGTTATTTGAATGATTTTTAAATTTTGTTCACATGTGGCAAAATATAACGAGCGTTCAAATAAAAACGTGGTCAAGTTGGTTCTGAAAATTTGGACGTAGGGCGTAGCATATAGCAAATGAACTTAAATGTCATCTGTCAAAGCGCTATATCGCCGCTATCAATTTGAATATTTTCGTTTTAAAAAGCGTTTAAAATGGTGTTTTCTCGAGAACAAAAAGTGTTTATCATAGAGTCCTACTTTAGACATGGACGCAAGATTGATGGAATATGGAAGTATTCTATTGAGGAATGTTTCATAGAATTTCAAAATCAATTTCCCGGCGTTGTTGAGTTCAAAATTTTTCAAAGTGCAGTTCAGCGTTGTGTTAATGTTTTTCGGGAAACGGGCAGTGTAACAAGAAAAGAAGGAAGCGGCCGACCTAAAAAGCGGACTGAAGAATTAAAAGAAAATGTCCAACAAATAATGAAATGCGCCAAGAACTTCTGTACGTGTTTTATCACAAATGGTGGGAGTATCAGTCGGTACCTGCCACACAGTGTTAAAAAAAGGTTTGCGTTTGTTCTCCTATTGTTTAACTTGTCAGCAAGAACTTCATGAAGTTGATTTTCCGCGACGGGCTGTATTTTGTGAATGGTTTTTAAACAACTACGGTGAACTTCATAATATCACCTTTTTTTCTGATGATGTCTGGTTTCATTTAAGTGGTTACGTAAACTCACAGAATATGAGAATGTGGTCTTCTGAAAAACCAGATAACTTTTTTGTCGAGGGCCCTCTACACGCTCAAAAAATTGGAGTTTGGTGTGCTCTCAATCGAAGGAGGATTTATGGACCTATTTTTTTTAATGGTACTCTTACTGCGCAAAGGTATAGAGAAGAAATTATCGCTCTTTTTGTTAACCAGCTGGAAGAAAACGAAATTACAAACTTTTACTTTCAACAAGATGGCGCAAGGGCACATACGGCAGGCGAGACAATGAATATGTTGAGGGAAGTTTTCCAAAATCGACTAATAAGTCTCAATGCTGAACATGAATTTCCACCGAGGTCATGTGATATTACGATATGTAATTTCTTTTTGTGGCCTTACCTTAAAAACACTATTTTTGAACTGCCTATTCCTGATTTAAACCATCTGCAGGCTCGACTTATAGACAAGATTCGTGAAATTAACAATATCCCGAGCATCTTAGAAAATGTCTTTAATTCTTTGAGGAACAGGTGTGAAAAGTGCTTGGAACAAGGAGGGGGACACTTTCAGCAGCTGCTTTAATTTATTGTTATAACAAGGAGGGGGACACTTTCCGCAGCTCCTTTAATTGTTTGTTATTGTTATCACGATTATTCTTTAAAATAAAGTTATATAGTCATTTTATTGAAACTGACAGCTGCTATACAGCTCGTTGAGAAATGAGGTTAAGTTGGTCGCTATAAGCTACTCCCTACGTCCAATGTGTCAGAGCCAACTTCAACCACGTTTTTATTTGAACGCTCGTTACAATAAATAAAGGGAAACTATGCAACAAATAAGTTAACAACAAAATCTAGAATAAATTACAAAATTTCTTTTGTTAGTTGTGTTATAAGAATAAAATAGTTTAATAGTTACCAACATGAGGTTTTAATGAAAAACAGTTTCACCACAATTCAATTTAGATAAAATTATAAACAAATTTAATAAACATTTAAAATTCCTATATTTATTGAAATGATTACATAATATTAAAATTAAGAAAAGATGTGGACTGTTAAACAGAAAACTAGACAATACAAAATTATTTAAACCGACAAAAATAAACCTGCTTTTTTAATAATTTTTTGCTCAAGATTTATTTGAATTGAAAACAATCTTATTGGGTTTAGGGAAATTTTGTAATTGGCAACTATATCACTAACTTTGCATGGCAGTAAATTTGAATTCTGGCAAAAATCTTTTTATATTTTTAAAACAAACCTATAAAATATAAATATTATTTAAGTTATTAATATCAGATTTTGTATTTAGATTATTTATCATAGTTGTCGGTTTTCCCTAAATACTTCGATACACGTCGATATATTTTCATGTCTGTATATGTTTTAAATGGTTCCCTTATTAAGAGAAGGTAATATTGAGATAACCGCATTGTAAAATCCCATTAAAGACAAATTGTCCATTATTTAGAAACATCTGCTATTCAGAAATGTCCCCAAAAGAGGTTTAACTATATTATTTTTTTTAGCTTAAACATGAAATATAATTAACGTCTCTCACCTTGGAATGTACGATGGCCAAGGTATCGACCCACACCCGCCATCCCCCGTACTCGTACTTTATAGCGTGGTGCAACAGCATTCTGAACAGGGAATAAACCATATCCGACAACTTCTGCTCCTCAGTATTCTTTGGGTGTATGTATGCCATGGCTATGAGCCATTCCTGCCAGACGGACATCTGTAACACCGTCCTTCGGTTCTCTCTGTTATTGTTGCAGAGCAACGTCATGTCCGATAAGAATAATTTCTTGACGTCCAATAATTGTTCCGTTTGCTTAGATTGCCTCACGAGAGTCGCCACCACCTTCAGTATCACTAAAAAGTAAACAGTTGAATAGTTTTAATATTTGACATTTAGCTGTCTCTGTTTACTCACTTGGATTCTCCAGCCTAAAGTGTGACTCTGGTTCGGGATGTCTAGTGTATAAAATCTGCTGGCTAATATGCTCGGTCATAATCTCGTATAAAACGTTATAAGTAGGCAACGATAAAGTGTCCTCGTTCAACAACAACCTCTCGGCTAACAAAGTATACAAATTGTGAGGGCTCATAACATCGTATTTCCTCTTATGAGTGCTGCGACTCAAGAAAAATCCAAGCAGTTTTAAAGCTTGCAGTCGAATCAACTGGCTTTCCGAAGCCAATAATTTGAATATCGTCCTCACGCCATATTTTGCATCAAAAGCCGGTACCATGGAGGACGGGTACTCGGACATGAGCGAGATAAGCATCTGGAGAACGTCGTGCAGGTTATCATCCTCGTGGATGGTGGTGAGGTAGTTTAAGATGCTTTGTAGCTCGTCGTCTTTCACTCCATTGCCGATCATGATCAGTTGTTTGAGAAAGAGCAGAATGTAGGAGCGGATGGCTAGGATATCTTTTTGAGCTGGTCTGGGTCCATCTAAAACAAAAACTGAAGAATTAATAGAATTATTTCAACAACCCAAATAATACTGTTTGTAATAAAGGTTATGTGAAATAAGGTTATGTTTGTTAATCTGTCAAAAATGCTCTCTTGACAGAAAAGTTAGCTTTGAATCAAACATAACCACATCTATTTTTGATACACCTGGAATTATATATTTCTGCCACTGTGGACATTATATTACACTTACCGATTCCCTTTGGCGATATCCCACTCTTAGATCTGGGGTTGATGACCCAATAGTAGTACTTCAAGGTATGCACGGTCTGTAAGACTGTCGACACTCTCCTGACGTTGGAGTAGATCTGTGTGTCAGATAGGAACTCCGTCGCCAGGTAAGAGTACAGCCTGGTCTGAACTGCGGCGGGAGTGTATATCCACAAAGCCGGGTTGAAGAGAACGTGGTCGAGCAGCTGCCAGGTCAAGAATGAAAAGCAAAACAACTAAATCAAGATGGTTCACACTGCCCCCCGTACTTACCCATTCACATGTCAGGTTAAAGAGAATTGAATAGCGGCGGATGGATATGGATATGGAATGTCTGGCAATTGTAGTAAGATGTACAATGTACAAGCACAAATATTTTAATCGATGGTGTTTATACAGGGTGTTATTAGAATAAATTTAGTGAAATATGCCTTGAAAGCAATTTGTTTTCTGCGATTATTCACTAGATGTCCTGGTTCTTAAGCACTTTGGACCACATACAATTGAGATGCTGGGGCAGCATTTTAATAATCTTTCACTGCTGTTGACTTTTTCGGTTATTTTTGAGATTTTGATAATATGTTATTTGAAAAATTTGCTTAGTTTAGTTCTGCTTAATATTCCAGGTCGGTTTAAAACACACATCTTACAAAACACCCTGTATTTTTTATAAGAAATTATATATAAAGACCTAAAAATTCTTTAGGTGCGATCTTAAATCTTAAGAACCACTGAAGTGCAAGAAAAACAGCTTCTAATAACACAAAAAAATGTTTTCATTGTTATTTCTGTTAGGTTTGTTAAAAGCAACAAGACACTTCCAAAGGAGGGTGTAAAACTTAAAGACTGCCAACCATATATTTACATTTGCTGGTAATAAAAAACAAATGACTGTGAGAGACAGAGAAACTAATGTTGGGAAATTGCCAAATGTTCCATAAACAATAAGCCATAAATGTATCTACAGAGCCGCTATTACGATAATTTTAGTCAAATGTATAAAGAACTGGATGAAGCGAAGGCCAAAATAATAAAAAATGTTCTTCAACATGCTTGGATAAGTACAAGTTTTAAAATACACAAATAAGCTTACAAATACACGTTTGGTACAGACATTATCGGATTATAGGTACAACAGTACATGGTTTTGGAATTAAAGGGAGGAATTCAAAATTTTTAATATTTGTTCACAAAATGAAATATTATAAAACACAATGTGTCTTTTTATATTTTTTTTTGGGATAAAGTAAAAGTTAAAGTGAAAAAACTATGAAACAAGCAACTTTTCACATTTCTATATACAAATGGTATTTATGTGGAATATATATTTTTAAATAGTCTACTTCACATTCAAATTGACACCACAAAAATGGATTCAAATTTCAAACTTGATTTTCACTCAAAGGATGTTAAGAAAAAATTTTAATTGAAATTTGAGTTTTCAACATGTACCAGGTGCGTAATTCGAGGGAAAGTTTTGAAATTTTTACAATAAATTTGGTGTGATTTAATTTAACTGTGTATCTCAATTAATAATAGAGATAGTGAAGTAAATGAAAAAAGAAATTGTTCAGGAAGATGGGGAACAGTTTGATTAAAGTAGAGATCTATTATTTGAACTGTCACACTTTACAGAACGTTTCAAATAAAGGAGAAAAAGCATTTTTATGCCCCAAAAAAATTTATAATTAAAAACTAACATAACCAGCTTAGCGGTTTGTAAAACGATTTTAAAATTCAAGTCCATTTTTAGTAGTGCTTTAATCTTGATGCAAACTACATTTCTCCTTGAAAGTTAAGGGTACACAACAAAATAAAATAAAATGGTGCCTTGTGCAACCGTTATAATTACTTGTGTGCATAATTCACAAAACAAACTTCCCTTTTTTAAATCCCAACGGTGCACTTTGCAGGCTCCAAAATTATACAACAAACACAGACACTGCACAACTAAACTGATTCTGCATATTTTGCAAACACACAAAATGGATGTGGATATAATAAACACGGAAATGTCAACATAGCAATAGTTTACATGCAAAATGTACAGCCTGTTTGAAAATAATGAAAAACAAACTCATTTCAGCCACACAAATAGGCGATCCAAACCCTGAAAAGTCTAGTTTTGAAATGAAATATTTACCATAGCAACATATAGATAAAAAACAGAATGTTAAAAAAAATGTATCGAACAAGAAAGCAAAGGAATAACACATTCTCATATCAAAGTTTCTTCAAATTAAATGACAAGCATGTAAAATAAAAATTTCAAAACACAAAACGAACTTTCGAAAATGATACAAAATAAAAGTTTGCCATTCGAGAACACTAGGTACATGCTTGTAAGTGTCGTGTTACAAACAATCACTTTCGACCTCACAAATACACTTACTTACAAAATTCATTACGTATTTGTATGCAACTTGACAATATTTGAGAGCATACCTGCTTGAGCAACAGCTCGCTATTGGCACTTAGACAAGTTACGAGATATTTTGTTAGGCTCAGGAACGAGCCTAGCACGTCGATGGTGAGGTGGTCCCTGGAGGAGCGCTGCAACATGAAGCTGATCACCAAGAAGCCGCGGTTCTGGATCATGTGCTGCTGCACTGTCTGCGAAGTCTCCACCAGTTCGCAGATAAATCCTAACAGTTTTGAGCTGGAAAATCGAAATTATAATTTAGCTTGCCAAAATTCAAAATTTTAATAAAACAAATTTTAGGTTCATTTTCCGATACGAAAATTTTGTTTCGAAATATGTCGGTAGATTTGCAGGTACATATTTGTAATATTAAGGTGGCCATATTCCTGGCCGAGAAATAGTGAAATTTCTGGCGTTTTTAGGTACTGAAATCTTTAAAAGTAAAACGTGTAGAACAAAAGTAAGCACAAAAATAAAATCCTTGATGTTTTGTTTATTCATTGTTACCATTTAAATTTACTCAAATAAAATAATAACTAAAAAAAAACCGTTTGTAAAACATGCGTTTGTTGTTACTCTAATCCCACATTTTAAGAATTATTTTCACGTACTTATAAATAAAAGTAAACAATTTTATATGTAGGACTAAGCAAGTAAATGTTATAAAAATATTTACATGTGGAATTATATATAAAAAAGTTAGTATTTTCGTAGATTTCAGTACCTAAAGCCTTGATGGTTTGATCGTTTTTTGCACCTATTTATTCGTTTTTTTTTGCACCTATTTTTTTTTGGTTTAGTGCGGCGTCTTTGAAAATACTCAGGTGGCATGACATAACATTCGTATTATTTGATAAGCTTTAGATTATTCAGTTATTAAATGTTTGAAATTATTTGTCTTTGCGGAAAACACTATTTAAAGAATATGGGGCCCTTAATGCAATTTGCTAATTCAAGCGCCAAACAGAAACTTATGTCTGCATAAAATTAGTTTAGGTCAGGTTAAGATTTTTTATACATCTACAACTAGAAATAAATTTGCGAGCTAAATATTCAAAAATATGTTTACCGGAAATTATACATTTCTAATTACATGTCTTTTATATTTTAGCAGGCAATATAATCTTCCAAATAGTGATAATTCTAGTGTTGTGTGCAGTATACATGTTATAATTAAAAAAAATTATTTTTTTGAAAACTAGATTCAACCGCACAAAACTAACTTGAGATTCATGTACAGAATCCTCGAAAATAGGGGGATAGGAAAAAATTCGTGCGTTTTACATACCATAATGTGGGGTCCCTCTTCACATCCGACGAACCCATAGATTCGTACGGCAAATCCAGTTGTGAAAACAAGGGAAACAACACCTGGATCCCGCCGACAGAATTTAACGTGCTATGGATGGAGTGTGTTATCACTGCTTTCACATCCTACACAAAGAGAAGGTGTTAGTACTTGTCCTTTATCAGGAAAGAGACGTATCTTAATTCTAGTTTGAAAAACTTTGAAAATTCCATTACCATCGGCCTACCAAATTTTAGGTATATTATTTGATGATAAAGTGATCCATCTGTTGTAGTTATTCAAAACCGTGCAATGCAATGCAACATTCGTCAACGTGTAAGTCTTAACAAGTCTGCTAGCAAACATGATTGAAATCAAATGGCGAAAAATTTCCAGATTCACCAGCAGATTCATTAAAGAGTAGACACTGGCTGGCAAATGTTGCAGTGTGTTAATCCAACGCAGTTTGAGATCAGCTGGATCGGTTAAATGGAAAGCCTTCACTAGATTTAACCTCAAAATGTCTGTAGATCTATTGTCAAAATGAATCAACAATAATGAATCAATCAACCAATCAATATTCTATGCCTAATGATTTTTTTTGCCTCTAATACATCACAACTGTTTAATGTTCCTCTATTAATAAAAGTTAAAGAATTTAACTTTAATATGCAAAATTAAGGAAGTTCAGTCTTGTTCACATTTGAGTAATTATTTTCACGGCGTAACATTAGAACGTATATAGTAAAATTATAAACTTACTTGCAACATGAGAGCATGGGGAGTGTGGACAAAGTAAGACATATTCCCCCTGGGCGCTGACTGCAGACACAGCTGAGTGTCGGTGGCCACTGGATTGTACATGAACACGATGGCGCTGGACAGCTTGCCGTCGTACAACACCTAGGGAGTAACAACAGCGTCATTAAATTGAGTTTCCAGATACCATTTATGACCAAGACATTTAACCGGGTCGTAGGGCCGTTCTTAAAGGACGGCAAAGTGGAAATCGGCGGGATTGTTGGGTAAATTATTCAGCAGGAGCTTGCTTTCTGAATGTCTGTTATGTATTCGATTCCGCATTTGTATTATCAACTCCAAAAATTATATATTTGTTTCTGCAGGAATCGGCGTCTAACTAGATATATTATAATATTTATAGTACAAAAATATTTTTAATTTAGAACGGCAACTTTTTAAGTTGGAGGAAACACTTGGTTTTACATCGAATACTTCGAAATATCTGAAATACATCGAAAAACGTCGAAAATTTTAAAGTATTCCGAAAAAACGTGGTAAAATAAGTTAAAGTACATCGAAACAGCATCAGAAAGTATTAAGACAATTTTGTGAATACCACAAAATGCGTCAAAGTAGCACTAAAAAATTCTTTCAATATACAAAAGTCTAAGACTAAAAGTGAACGACTTAAGGAGATCAAAAGACCAATGAACAGAGAGCAAAAGGTTATTTATCTTTGACATTATGGCACTGGACTTTGACCTCCGACCCTGACCTTTAGCCATGACCATCCATCTTTGACATTTAGTCTTTCAAGTATTCTCGAAGTAGGAAGGAAATATTTTGAAATATTCATGGTTTTTCCAAGTACTTAGTGTTTTTCGAGATATTTGGAAGTTTTCAGAAGTATTTCTCTAATGGTATTTTGTCATTTTTGATGTATTTTAAAAGCGTTTTAATACACATACATATTTTAATGTATTTCACAGTGGATTCGCAGATATTATCGCTTTCTAAAAACATTTGTACTTTGACCTTTGACAGCTGTTTTAATGTTCCTTTTTTTTTAAATCAAATTCTCAAAAAATTAGACAAATTTTAATGTATTCTGAAGCTGTTTTGATGCACACTGAAATTATTATTATTATAACCTAACTAAAACTTCGGAACCAAACCTATTGGCCTATTTACACAGTCAACGAAATTGATAAATATTTGGATGTACTGCTATCCATAACTATGGACTATGTAATATACTTAATATTTTCAATAAATTTATGAATGAAATAATGAAATAATAGTTGTGACAAAAAATGTACAGTTTTTGTATATGACAGTATCAATAAAGCTGCTGTTCTATTTTATCCCAATGAATTTCTTTGACCGTGTAAAATGGCATAAAGTAGGGAATTTATGTAATCCAAAATAATATGGACTAATATAATGTCTCAAAAAACCTCAAACATTTCAAACATTTCGAAATACTTTAAAATACATCAAAATACTTCGAGAATCCATAAACATGTCAAAGTACTTCGAAATTTATCAAAACGGACACGTAACTAAACTTTTAAAATTTGATGACCAGTGTGCAGTTGAACTATTTACTCCAAATGTACTGTTTTTTTCGAAATATTGAAATTACGTATGTGTTCAGGAGAATTAAAGAGCGTGATTTCATCGCTAATACTATATTCATGTACCTAAACGAGACTTACTAATTGAACATTGAAAATTAACAGTTATCCCATGCTGAGGGCTTTGAAACCTAACCTACGCCATGCTAGACTCCAGTCAGTAATTCGATGTAACAATGGCGGGGCATCATGTGTAATTATTTCGAAAACAGCTACACCCTTTAATAATGCAAACCGAAATAACAATGCGTGCGGATGAAATGCCAACTAGTAATTTGGCCCTGTATTCGGGCTAGGAATTGAATAACATTATCCTGTATGAGTGACTCAATTTAAAACTAATAGGACCTGCGGTAAAATGTAATTTAATGGGCCATTTAGAGCCATTCATGACCCTCAACAACTATCGCAAATGGAAATGTAAAGTTCGCAAGCCCTTGTAAGCTGAACTCCAAACTGCGTAAATACTTACTATATAATAAAATTTAGAATTCGCCAGAATATATATTTTTTTCATAACATACGTCGCTTTTTCGCTAATCCATTGGAAAAAGACAACCCAATGAAATACATTAACTAAAACAACTCGGATAACTAGAACTGGGATAAATATAATAAGAAATATCAATATATATTTCCGAAATAAATACTAAGTAGGGTAACAAAGTATTAATAAAAAATCATCCACAATAAAATAAGTACACAATTAAACGAAAAATCGTGCACAATTTACTGGTGCAAAATAATAACTTGGTATTAAAGCATTTCGTAAAACTGCCTACATCTCACTAACAACTAAAAAACGTGCTGGAAATAAAAATATGAAAAAATAAAATGCTTACGGAACGTGCATCTGACGCAGTCTGAGGCAGAGGCATGCTAGGAGCAGCTAATTGCTCAATGTCACTCACCCTTTTGTGATTGTCAGGTAAATTTATGTTACATTCGTTATCGAATCGGAACTGACTCTGAAAGCAGGAATATATATTAATCAATTGCATAATTCTCTCCAAAAACGTAAATATTTATTATTCGAAAATATTCGCCAAAAATGCTAGAAAGAAAAAAAGCTTTATAATAATTGTAAACCCCGAAAAATTTTCTGTATAATAAACATTCATTCGAAAGTGTAGCGAATTTATTGGAAAGTGTATTAAAATACGTTTTGTGGCAGTTATCCATTTGTTTAAGAAATGATGCAATTGTACCTACAATTAAATTTAGATAAAACCCACTTTTTTTACTATAAAATGTTTCCATTTCAGTGTAGCGGACTGTAGCGACTAGAATTAATTTAATGAACTTACTTTGTATCCAGGACCTAACCTATGCATTGCGCATATTTGGTGGGTGGTTAAGGCTTCGCTAAAAAGGTATATGGCTGACATTTGTCCACAAAACACTCTTTCTTCGTCTAATTCAGGTGTTGCTCCTATATAGCATTTATCGAAAACCTAAACAACAAAATATAAAAAATAATAAAATTGCCAACAATAAAATTTATTTCTTATATTTTCTTTTACTCTTAGATACAGGGGGTAACTCTAATGAGGATCACCTTTCTATGGAAACAAATATAAGTTCGTTATCTCATGTTCTTTATTTTTTTTTCATAATTTTCATTCCTCGTCGCTGGACAGACACGTATAACCACAAACAGCGGGCGCTAACCGCGTGTACATACCCAATTGAGAGCTACGTAATGCATTGTTTTCATTTCTTAACTTAATAGCGCAAGACTACCTACCATATTACAATTTGTAAACCGATAAACTGAAAATTAAAATAAATCTAACAAAATGAATAGGTCATTCTCATTTCTCCGAATTTGGGTTCACCGTTTGTTTTTTGCCCGCCTAGCACTCTGTTGTCATATCACATCAGGTGGATTGAAAGTATGTAGTTCACTAAAGTACGATGCTTAAAAAAGGTAAACACTTCATTAAAAACTGTAAATTCATCAGATTTTCAAATCAGCAAAAATAATTATTTTATTAAATTATTGACAACAAAAAAATATGATGACTTTAAAATAACACGTCGCAAAGTCAAAAGAAAGCAATATATTTCTACAAATTTATTTTCCATTGCAGTTTTGCTCTCTGCTAGTCCTTTAGTTTCATACAGTCGTAATTGGTTTAAAAAGTTAACAACCGGCAACACTGATAACGCGCACAAACCGTGTCCGGGAGCTGCCTGGTGACGGCGGCGGCATGGATAAAAGTTTACTTTTAAAGAGCGGCTCTACCATTTAATTTAAAAAAAAATTATTTCATCATCCACTTGTACATTATTTTATTTATATTTTTAAACAGGTTTTTTAATATTTAGCCAACTTTTTTTTACTCACGTCGTTCGTGGAAACGAACCAGGCCATTTCGGTGCTGGACGCCAGTTGCCCATTGACCAGGCATTTGATCTCGCTCTTCGTCCACCTGTTGTATATGTACACGACGGCCAGCATGTACCACTGAAATAGAACGGGACAAAGTCCAGATTAAACTCATTAAACGGGTAACCGTCACGATTTACCTTTCTCGGTTGGAATTCGTATTTGACGCAGTGCTGGAAGCCCTTTCCTTTAATCTTCATCGAGGTGAGCACTAGGCAATTCCCCACAAAATGAGCCGTGTATCCCACACCTTTGCTGGTTTTGAAGCTGCAAACGGACGAAATAATATCTGAGGTGTTTATTACCAAGGGATTACAAAGGGACGGTTTGTACTTGAACCCCACACGGAAATAAATGTTATGGTTATTTATTCTAATTTTATTATTTCATTATTTTATCTGTTCCCACTATAGTAGACCATTAATACATTGTTTTTAAGGAGATAAGTGGATTTTGCCGTAGAAGTGGAAGTTAATTTGGACAACGGGAGATAAGTGACGTAACTTACCTAAATAGGGAAAAAAGCGATTTTGAGATACATATTTTATGAACAAATAAATAGAAATACTTGAAGAACATTACATTTTATTAAATATTATGAATGAATATTTATAGTAATTATATAATTATTACATTTAGTAACATTTATAAAATCTGGATAATTATTCCCCTCGCGTTTACTAATTGTCACATTTTTCTCAAAATGATTTGACCATTCCATTTCAGTCACCGGAGGCTCAATATTATTTGACTGATCCATTAAAACGGCATGATGCAACTAGAACCTGGAGTTGAAGTGTCATTGTAAAGAATCCTGTTGCCTATTTCATTTTTGTTACTTAAACTGTCAAGCAACATAACTATCTGCAATTGTGGCTGATTTCCACCCACCATGTTTCTTGATTGCTAATACGTCAACTCCTGTATTAGCCAGTATTGCCGATGTTCTTCGGAATAAATGACCTGTATATGCTCTAGGATGTTCTAATTTTAAAACTGTACAATCTTATTAGGAATCATAGAAAGGGTATTCTTGCCGACTGGTTGGTTGTAACATCTACCTGCTTGACATCGCATAAAAAAGCGTGAAATTTCAGTTTTAATTTTCAATCTAATCTTGATATATTTATTGAGAATTTCTAGGTGAGAACAAAACCCAGACGAGAAATAATTGTAAACGTAGGTACGTGACATGTCATTTTTAAAATCTGGAATACAATAATGTCATCGAAATTTTTTAAACTGACGTTGTCCAAAGTAAGTTTGCATAATTCATCAGAATGGCATGCTCCAGCAATGCCTAAGACCGTCACTACCTTCATTAGCAAATATGTGTTATCGGGTGTCTGAACGAGAAAATTGTTGACTTGTTCTCTTGTAAAAACGTTTGATTTTTTAGGTGTATAGCCGTATTATATATATTCTTACATTTCAAAAATGCTCTCAGCTTGGGGTATTTTGATATATCCACGTTCTCTTCTATGAAAATAGTTGACTTAATAATTGAGCATTCACTCCACACACTCGCCGATGACTTTAAAGTTCTTGACTTCTCCACGAAATATGCTAGAAGTGCCATTTCAGCATTTGCTGCACTTTCTATTTGAAAATCAGTCATTTAGAAATAATAATTCAAAACCAGCAAAATTGCAACTTTTATGTAGCTTCCCTTATAAACACCTTAGAAACAACAAAATCCAATCAACCAAGGCAACATTGCAAGATTTCGAGTAATGTCAAAATGGGATTAAGATTAAGGGATTAAGAAATGTCAAAAAATAAAACCTAATCTTTATTTCATGAACTATAAAGAACTGTGGGAGCAGATAAAATATTGTACACCACGCAGTAGTTAAGTATAATTTACCAGTCTCGAACACTATCGTCAGGCCTCGCTCCGCTCGGGCGCAAAATCGTCCTCGACTGGTAAATATAAATAATACTTACCTCCTTTATAGTGTAAATAACTAATTCTAACTTTGTTATATTCAGGATATATAATTTTACTAATGAAACACTGTAATCAAATAACCTTAGAGCCGCATAAGTATTGACAGAACTATAATTAATCGTGTTTATTAATTAAAAGGTACAATACATTACAAGTGCATTAACGATTTGATGGAAAAGCAGATACATCGGTTTTGACGCATCCAAACGAACTGCATTTCAATGCATATTGTATGTTTGCAGTGATATTTACATGGAATTCGAAAGCAATCGCATTTATGTTTGAACAGAAAATATGGTAAAAATATTATTGAAATAAAAATGTTTAAACTGACATGGCCAGAAAAAATTGAAAATGAAACAAGGATAATGATAAGATTGATGAAGTAAATAAGAAACAATTATGATGACAGTGATTGATGACAAAACAAAGTTTAAGCCTGTATAAAATAACTTCGATATAAATCAGATCCAAACAACAAAATCATGATCTAATACTGAAGCTTATCCTCCTGAAAACAGTCATAAAAAGGAATTGATTTATTTCAACTTACCAATACAAATAAGGTTTCTCCCTTTCTATATTTACAGAATTTATGGGATCTAAACGAAACCACGTCGTGAATGTGAATCCATTTTCATATGGCCACTTCGCTAAAGGTGGTAATACTACTGCCTGTAAATAAAAATGTGTTAAATCGCCCGTTATTGATTGTTCTTTGTTAATTATTTATATTTGGAAACTTTCACCTTACTTGTATTAAGCTAATTCAAATCAAATCTAAGAATTTCTCTAAAATGGTATGTTAAAGAAATAGACACTTTTTGATATTTGTATTGGTCAGCCATGCACGAACGAATAAATCCGACGGATTTAACGCGCATATCAATCGCGTTGCATATCAAGTAGCGTATCATATGCATTGAGTTATACCAAAATTACGATTGTGACGGTTAAAAACTGTGGAATAAATTATAATAGTGATAATTCCTATGCAGATCTAAATTTGCAGATATGAGAAACGATAAATCATGAAATCGACAGTTCGTTTAACAACTAACGTACAAATAAATATGTAGTACAGTTTAAACTGAAATGGAATACTAATATATGATCCACAGTTCTAAGGGCTAATTTTATAATGAAATTCAAAACTGTAATAAAATTTAAATAAGCTCTAAGACGATGAAAAGTGTTGATTTAAATTTAAATTAGTACTTGAATGTATTATAACGCTGGCCTTAAATCTAACAATTTCGAAAAGTTTATACGTCTATCTTAAGATGAAATTATTAGAATATATTTCTTCTGAGATACTTCATTTTTAACTCGCGTATTAGGCTCGTAACGTTACAAATCTGTCCTCAAAATAGACAGTCTGTTAAATTCCGACCCATACACGGAAGGTTCTATATTCCGGTTTGGCGTGTACAAGATTATGGATTTATTTGTCCGTGTATGGCTGCCTTTAGAATAGTTTGGAATAGGTGGGATAGGTAGAACTTTTAAAAAATCTTTATCCTCTTTGGGTAATTTATTTTGCCACCCGTTACACATTTACCCTCCGCCTCTCCCGGTCTCAAAGGAAGCTCCATCGTCCAACAAAGCACGCGAAGGAGGCGGCGGTTTCTTTGCCCACTTCCATACACACATACACACACACCATTCTCTCAAATGCCCTTGTTTGGCCAACTAAAAGTTTATCGTTGTTTTCTGTTTGCTCTGCTCTACTTACTAATTCTCTGGGTAAACGGAAAGGTCCTGGACGTAAATAAAGGACGTTTCTTTTGCTCGCGATACAATGGAGTTGAATTTACACAGTTTATTGTGTGTTCTTTGTCACTTTTGCAACAGTGAATGCACGAAGTCGAGGCAGCACAATGAATTTATATTTTGGAACGGAGAATAGCGTTACTTATGAACTTTCATAACACAATGAGCGGAGAATACTGCGAGGAGAATGCTCCTGAAATAGACTCTATTATTTCAGGACTACATCCTTGATCAAAATATTGTTTGCCAAGTTTCTAACATGACCCGAGGGGCAGGACCTTACGGAAGCTACCTACACGTATTGTAATATTTTTGTAGCATGTATACTTACCGATCCTTTTCGTCCTGGGAAGCTAAAGAAAACGTCTGGTCCCGTCCTTTGTGGCATTTGGCGAAGGACGTTCAACAGTTTAGCTGAATGGCGTGGCTGAAATATAAAGGAACGTGACACCGGGGTCAGATATTGGAAAATTCGAAGTTGTGCGGTGAATTTTATTAGTAAACTGTTAGTTAAGTCTACTATTCATACATTCAACTCTACAAGAAATTTATTAAAAAATTAGAAGTTCACGGCTTTTCAGTCGAAAAACGAGTTTTAATTATACAGGTTCGGAAAGTCCCCATGGTACATCGGCCATTACGTGAGAGCGATAAAGTAAGTCATAGAAATCCGTGCGATAGAGAAGGATGGTTACATTGAAGCCATTTCATAATCTGAATAGTCACTCCCACTTCTAACCCGAAACGGGCGGTGACTATTCAGATTATGAAACGTCTTCACTATAGCCATCCTTGTCTATCGCACGGATTTCTTTACTTTACTTTGTCGCTCTCATGTAAAGGTAGATGGACCATGTGGATTTTCCAGCCCTGTATACTAATAGTAAAGTAACACCATTCTTTATAAAAAAACTTGTGGAATTTTCCTCTCAGTTGCTCTGCGAAACGACGCGATGCTTACGCAGCGTTTTGCTGACATTCATACTTCTGGAATTACTTTGATGGACATACATAGACATCGACGATACAGATGCTATTGCAGCGAAATTCGAACCAGCAACTGAATACCCAGATTGATCCAGTATAATTCTTGAGTTGCGTCTTTGAGACGTAGACTACCATAGCTCTTATCACTGCGTTACTATATTTTAGAACCTAACCTAACATAGTCGCATTAATGGGATCGCTTTCATTATTATAATTTAATAATAATCAAATATATTGGATTATTCTTATACATATTAAAACACTATTTGCATATCAATCAAAAATATATTTTTATGAAACTGGCATGTCCATGTACTGGAATTAATGAACCGAACTGAATTGAATTGAATTATAGTTAAAATTGATTTAAAGCAACAGAGGTCAAATATAAAGTTGTCATTGGTAGTGCAATAGCAATTTCCTCCATGTATGTACGTTCTAAAAATGTGTCTCTATCACAGTAACACATAAACTTAGTTTTGCAATACCACCGACACGTCCCACAAAACTCGTACTTCTAACTATTCTCCTTCCATAATTCTTTTCATTACACTAATGCAAAAAAAGAATTTCCGAAATTTTTCCGTGATTTTTGACAGATTGTATTTAGGTGAAAAATGGTCGCGTCGGAGTTAAAAAAAGCATTGTGAAGCTCTAAGATTCTAGTTTTTAGATCTTTCGGTCGAAATTTTTTAGGAGGAACAGATTTCATGTAATTCTAATAGGGCGAGTCCAGAAGAAGCCTGTAAATTTCATCTCGATCTAGCGGACCGTTTCTTTGTTTCAAACAGTCATACTTTTGAAAAAAATTAAAGGGTCACGTAACTTCATAATCATGATTAAAACAGGAAAAAAATTTCTTTTGAGGTTTTCTCACATTTTTACCGAAAATAGCGTTTAAAATGATGAAAAAAAAAAACAAAATTTTGAATTATTTTTTCAAAGTTAAAAAAACTATTTTTTATGTGATTACAGACTGCACAAAAATTAATTAGAAGTATGTCTCAAAAACGGTATGAATCGGGGTCGAAATTTGGTTTAGGCCGTCAACTTTAATTTGAATTTAATTAAAAGTTGATGAATAGAAGCATAGGACGGAAAAGTCGAATCATGCTGGAAACAATTGGATTTTGTTTTTTTCAATGTCTGGAAGGTTTTCCAAAAAAAAAAAAAATAAAAAATTGCGAATATTTTTCAAAATATTTATTTTTTTTTTCATCAATTTAAACGTCATTTGCGGTAAAAATTTGACAAAACCTCAAAAAAAAATTTTTTTCCCATTTTGATCATAATTAAGAAGTGTTTAAGCTAAAAAAACATGGCTCTTTAATTTTTTTCAAAAGTAAAAGTCATGTTTAACATTAGTCATTTCGTAAATATTTCTAATTTAGCCGTCAATTTTCTAAAAAAACATAAATTACTCTTTTTTTCCTTTTTTTTTTTTTAAATTCGTGTAAAAGATGAAAAGATTTTCACAAAAGTTGCGGCAACATGTTATAGGAAGTTTATTCCAGTTTTTTAAACAGCCCTTCAATTCTCCGTACGACCATTTGTTGCCGAGATATCAATGATTGAAGACAAAAGGATCCTTTTCCATTAAAAGTCCGATATTTCGATGAAAAATGATCGTATCGAAATTAAAAAAAAGGAAATTGAAGTTGAATAAACAAGCTATCTAATCCATGCAATGGCTCAGCTAAAAAAAATTTCCAAGTCCGTGGATTCAGAAAGTAAAAAAAATTTGCAAAATTTTTTAGTCGCGCTATTTCTTAGAATTGCACGATAACAGTAGCTCCTAAATAATTTCGACCGACCGAAAGATCTAAAAATTAGAATCCTAGAGCTTCAAAATGCTTTTTTTTAATTCCCGATACGACCATTTTTCACCTAAATACAGTGCGTCAAAAATTACGGAAAAATTACTTTTGAACCTTTTAATTTCTTGCATTAGTTTATAAGTATTTCGATTATTCGAGTTTTATTCAGTTATTTTCTTGAAAATTTATTTTTATATCTATAGAGTGTCCCCGTTTTAAATACCTTACCTGTTTCAAACAGGTAATAGAAAAATTAATTTTTAACAAACAGTTTTATTGTGTGCAAAATTTGATTATAAAAATACCTTTGAAAAATGAAAATAATAAAAAATATTTATTATAACTTTCGCACTGCGTGTCTTCTTTATTAAGGGTTCCCGGATATTTGTTTATAAGAAAATCTTTGCTTAAAATTAATTTTTCTGTTACCTATTTCTTACCTTCCTTAATTTAATTTTAACTTGCCCCATTTACATGTTATAAGCCAAGAAAAACCTTCTAGTCAAAGGAAAGTCATTTTTCAATCTCCCCTAAAGAACGTCGTCCACCCCTATTCGAGACTTACCCACTTTCCGTTGACCGCTTTCATAGCGCCGAACAGCAGCTTCAACTCTTTGACGGTTATGCTGTAGCTGGCCAGAACGCCGAGCATTTCTATCAGCAGATCTGCAAAAGAAAAGGTCGTTAACGGGATTATAAAATAATAAAAAAGCGTACTCGCGTCCCATTTTTACTGCCGGATAAGGCTTAACAATGTCGTTAGGGCCCGCCTTGATGGCGTCGAGTTAACATTGTAATTAGAATGTTTGAGTAAGTCCGCTAAATGTTACACTTTATCCATTCCAGCGGTACTCCTGCCTGTTTTAGATTGGGCATACTCACCCGCCACTACGACATCTGCACTCCGCAACCTCTTGAGGACGTGCTCTATGAGGCCGACGTCCGTGCATGCTTGTAAGTTTCGAACGCTTTTTCTTAGGATGGCAATGAACACGCTCCATATCTCCGCCTGAAAAGAAAAAGAAAGCGTAAGTAAATTAATCCTCACACAATTTTGATACAAACAAAATAATTAAGAAACTCACAATGCCTTTGATTTGCTGTTTTTAAAGTTTACTTCTTATCAGTGTATATAGAGTATGTCCACGGTTAGAGTTGCCATGGAGAAAGCTAACATTTCATTATCAAATGTCTAGAAAATTAAGAAATATGAAAATGACCTTTATTTTTACTCTTTCGAAAATGTGTCACTAGAAAAAGTTGTTCGTAATTGTAAGTTACGAAATAGTTCTCATTTGAGGCAAAATTGGCCCACTTTGATTATTTCGAAAATTTATGTCCACGGTTAGTAAACAGGGTGCGAAAAGTTGCTATTTATAATTTTTCGACAAACATGAAAAAATTTATAATAGAATTCAAAAAATTGTTTATTATTTAATCCTTGACTTTATTCCACTTTACTTCAAATAGTAACAATGTTAAATTGATATTTTATTCTTCACTGTACTTCGAAATTTATTTAATACTGTGCTACGGTAAGGTGATAACATTCATAGTAATACCTGTGCATGTAGCGCACGTGTCTTTAAACAGGGCCAATCACAACTTATCCAAAAAAATTTGGGAATGAGAAATGGAGTCAATATCGTAAAGAAAAATTTGTAGAATTCTTATAGTTTCCAAGAAAAAAAATATTGAAGTTGTAGTACTTTCAACCATTACATAGCTGGACAACTGTAGTCTCTAGCGTCATTCGTAATACGCGCGGAGAGGCCTCAGCGACTCCGAATACAAAAATCCGATTTTACAGTCGTCGTTGCCAGTGTTTACAATAGTTTTTTCTATAGTTAGTTTCAAAATATTAATTAATAATGACAATAGCGGCAAAATCAGTTAAATTTACTGACATAAAATAGGTGCTATAAAATTCTATTTATTTCTTGCGAAATTCTTTCAAGTTTTTGTCCGTTTTTATCACATTTTGCTGCCATGCCAGTCACATTTTGCGAGGTCAGGTTTTACAGTGGACCAGTTTCCAATGCCGTGCAGAAGTGTATTTTTAAATCATTTTCGAACTGCCCTTTTTGATTTTTTCGGTACAAAGATGTATTTGTAAGAGTCCCCTGTACCTCCAAAAATATATTTTTTTTTGATAAGTTCTGAATAACCCTGTATAAAACAGTTCAAACATTTTTGTCTGTAGATCGAAAGTATGGAACGAAACACCCATCAACAGATTATGTTTTCGGTTTGCGATGTAAAAGAGGTTAAACGAAGCTACAATCAATTTCTTGCTCGCTTTCAAATTTGTGTGAAGAAGTGTTCGAATAATGCTTTATTATACCTTTTTTCCCAAATTTGCTTCTTTTTTTAAATTAAACTAGTACGAATTGTTTTATTTCAAAAAATTAAGTAACTTTTTGGCATGCCTTTCGCTAAGTATCATTTCTTCGAAACAGTACAAATAAAGGTAGTTTACTCTTATGATACATTTATATTTTTCTGGATACCCCATACATGAAATGTTAACCTTCTTCTCATTTTAGATACAAGCAAAGATTTATATAGATTTTTTTTCCGTAAAATGTAAAATAAAAAAGTTTTTTCATTTATTCACTCGAACCGTGGATTACGTGGTTCTTTATAAAAAGTCCTTTTTTCTATGCGGTCTCACTAAATATATTATCAAGATTCCTTCGGAAAAAAAAAGCAATCCGACCTGTATTATGTTTCAAAACGTCTTCCAATGACATTTGCTGACCCACTTCGACTTTAATGATAAAAGCAGGAACAAATCCAGTTTTGGTATTTAAGGTAGGAAATTGTATAACTTGCGACTGAAAATAACTCCCATGTAATACGAATCCGGAAACGTGTTTCATAGAAATTTCATCCAGTATTCATTAGGAGAGTATCATCTTCCGTAGCTACGTTCAAAATCCGCGTAAAGATGTCCATACACGGCAAACTGTACACGTAACTTGTAGTATACACGAAGAAACGTTTTTACTTTTCTATAACACATAGTCTTTAATGAATTGTTAGAATGTTTAAAACAATTTTTTCTTTAACTATTATATGCTTGTTCAAATGTTTTCCCTGGCCATTTGCTATTATGTATCTTTTCTCGTGATAACTGAAAAGCAAAAAATAGAAAACAGAAAGTGGGGTTTATAGTAAATGCGATTAAAAACTCACATTCTTGATAAATAATCAGGTATGACAGAGAGCAAAAACATGTGTTTGGTGGCAAAATGTATTAATTTGTAATTGTATTGTGGCTGTGTTTGCCTCGGCGTTTACAGATTAAAAGTGTTATAATCTCCTATTCTACATAAAACAATAAATAAAAGACACTTAGCTTTCAGAAAATTTACCAATCTGTAAAACTGGTTTCTATCTGATTTAATTTACTACTTTTATTGTAACTTTTACTCTAATTTTGTTTTTGTACAATAGGATGGGGTACTTTCAAATGCGTTATGTATTTTATGTTTAAAGACATTTTATTCACTATTTAAATAACAAGGTTAAAAATAAACTTATGTTTAAATATCAATATTTATTTTTTCAATTAAAACATCTCCGAAGAGAGGAATATTCCTCGCTTTCTATAAAAATTCATCTGCATCTACTATACAGTGTATAGGCGACATTATCTTTTAAGCGAAGCCAGATAAATCGTATTGTGTACGGAAACTTTAAACTATGACAAGATGCAGTTGGCAGCCCGTAAATATACGGCGCATCACGCAGGGGAATGAAAAAGGTGAAGGAAAGCTTGCGCCCGCCACCTTGATTCGATCCGGTAAAATTTACATTTTAATGCGTAATTTTATAAAAGCATATCCAGTTTCTCCGGCGGTAATTTTGCAGGAAGATGAACTCGAGGCCTCTGATTTAGTTATTCCACGCACGTTCGTGATCTTGAGTGGGCGCAGATAAAGTTTCCGGCGCGAATCGGGGTTTCTATAAGGCATTTAGTCATAATAGGCCCACAATGGGCTATAAAATTTGTGAGATATTAGGATTATTACATTTGAGCTCCAAAAAGTCATGATTCATGTCATAAATTCGCCAGAAGTTAGTTCATCTTATTTTTTGGAATTACAAAAGAATGACCATATTAGAATTAAGCAACTATAGCAAATGTATAGCCATCAGCTGCAATACACCGTCGTATTAATGATGAATACGCATGACGAATTTTAAAGTTACCAAGAATTTCATTTTCAGCCACTATAATTTGTTCCTGTAACTATTCCCTACTGTTAATTACTTTGCGGTAAAAAAAAAATCCAGTAGATCTAAGTCGGGACTTCTTGGAAACCTTCTCACAAGACCAAATCAACCAATCCACCACCAAAATGATGCATTCCTGTCGGGTTTCGTCTCTCTCCCACAGCGAAAATTTGTGTTTTTGGCGGAGGAGCCCCCAGAAAAGGGAAATTTTACCTCGAAAACGGTAAGGAATCGCCTTCAAAATACGACGTGGGCATAAAGGAAGAGTTCTATTTTTTTTAGTAACTTCAACAACCTGTATCTTAATAAATTATTTTGTTTTGGCGAGAAGTTTAGGTAAAATTTTATACATTTTTTAAAAAAAATGTAAACTGTAATTAAAAAAAAATTGAATCATTTTCTTACAATCATTTGGCGTGGTTGCAGTCGATCTTTGTCCATCTCCCCACCAAGCATACAGAGATACTTCACTGCATAGCCAACCCTAACTGTTATTAGAAAATAGTCCTAATCAAATCGACGTTTTTACCCCTTTTTCATGAAGTTCATCTGCGTGTGTCATCCGGTGATGTATTCACTACGCACGTGATGGGGGCGTGAAGGACCACAAATTAATCACATCGTGATATAGTGGCAGAGGGTGTCCGGTTTATAAGTGGCACGTGTCGGCGCCACGCGTTGCCGCCGCGACGCGGATGGATACGGCCAGGTGATGGGCCACACGTCGCGCTCGTAGAGAATTAGCGAGTGTTGTCGAAATTAATTAATTCACAGGACCGGATTAAGGGGGAAGCTGAAGGCGTTTAAATAAAGTCCTTACAATTATAGTGAAATAATATGTAAAAATGCAATAAATAACAATAAAAATGTTTATTTTAAAAAACCTACTATTACATTCCTGATAATATTGGCCACGCCAATATAATTATAACCATTTTATTAACTCTGCCTTAACAACATTTCGGTCTTATTATTTTAAAATAATATTAAAGGTAATATACAGGGTGATCCACAAATGGTGACCAAAAATGAAACCTCGTGTTCTTTGGTGAATTTTAAGGGGAGTGTTTCCTATAAAGTTTTTATCTAGGACGCTTCGTTAAAAAGATGCAGGGTGGTGAACTTCAAAAAATATTTTTAATTTTTTTTAATAATTTAAAAACTAGCAAGTGAAATAATTTGAAATTGGGCATATGTATTTATGTAACTAACTACTCAGAATGTCAAAGTTGCTATCGCAGCCCACTACGTAATTTTAAAAAGCATTATATTTGAATATCGAAGTGTGTTCTCAGTTCGTTTTTTAAGTTTTACTCGAAAACATTAGACAGTAGTAATTTGTAGAAAATTGGAAGACGAATCCAAAAATATCATGGTTGTTACCGCAAAGCAGTGGCGTAATATTTTATTTAGAAAAATATGCCACCGATACCCTGTATCTCCGCCACTGGAGCACGTAAATTTTTGGAAAAGCCCTCAGATTTTGGACAATAGGTGTAGACAATATTAGTATAAATATGATCAGATGCCTCTGTCTTAAAATTTTGCCAGTAATAACCCATTATTGTGTTGAAAATATAGTAGGTTATCCGTTAATTTGGAAACAACCTAAATTTATTCCATTATATAAGATAAATGATAGTATTGATGATGCGACAGATCTCAGGTCTGTTAGCAAATTACCTGTTCTTTCAAAAGCTTTGGAAATTATTTTAAATTTACAAA